AGGAGGGGTTCTGGTTCACAGCTGCAGCCCTTTCGTGGGCTGCCAGCCAGCTGGAGACCACAGGTGGAGTAACTGGCACCCGAATCTCCTTGCTGGGACTAAGGAACCAGCATTAGGCAGTGGGATGCCTGACGATATGGAAGGCAACATCATTATTCAGCAGATTTAAGCCCTTGGTTCACTGCTTCAGGTAGCATCTATTTGAGTCTGTATTTTTGCTCTCCCACAACCCTTAGAACAAGCCACAAACCCAGCGCCCAATTCTCTTTCATTAATTTCTTGCTTGAGGAGCGCGGAGGAAAGATGCTACCCGTTGCTACAGCTTTTCACTCGATCTGTCTGTGCCCCGGTGCCTTTACAAGCAAAATAACAGTAAAAACCACACAGAGGGAACAAGGCTAAATTATCACTTGGAAGTAGTTAAACAAAGTGGAATGGAAGAGGTCCCGTAAAGGTAAAAGCCTGTATTAGGACAGCTGCAAAGGTCAAGCCCCTCAGCTCCAGGACACGACTTCCAGCCAGGTAAAACATCCTGCCTCACCAAACCAGGACCGGTAACATCTGTGATGGATGCATGTGCACACAAGACAACCTTCACCTCTGGGGCTCAGAGCATTTCCAGCACATCTGCGCTCGTGCAGGGAAATCTGGGTCACGGCTGATGAAGCAAGCGGCAGCGTTACCCCCTGCAGCACACCAAGGGCAAAAAAAAATGTGGCACCTGCGCTGGATGCTCCTCTGTCAGCTTGTGGGGCCAGCAGGCTCTGCCCCTGAGGGCTGCAGGCTCGTCGTGCAGGGGGAATGGAGACGTTGGGCTGCAGGATCTGTTTTTGAGGGCTTGCAGCACAGAGCCTGTGGCTGTGTGCCTCTGGTAGAGGACCCAGGTTACCATTTTCTGCTGCACTTTGTTCCTCCATTCATAAATCTCCTCGGGCCTCCCCTACGCATGAAAGCAGAAGGAGGCAGGATCTGCCGGGTTTCTCTGTAATGGAAATTCATTCCTGATGTGTGGGTTCCATCCACGGCTCCCTCAGGCGATGGGGGGTTACACCAGCTGAGGATGGGGGTGGCCGATCTCACCCACCCCAAAACAGCACCACATTTTAGGAAGGAAAAGCTGAGAAGTTGTGATGGGAGGAGATTTCACTCATCAGCTCGAAGAATTCTTTGTGTCCTCTGTGGTTTTGTTCTCCTATTTCCAGCGGCAGCCAGACACCGGGCTGCTTCTGACAGAGCCCCAAATCCCCGTTACTTCCCCATAGGACTGGGACTTCCCAGGGAGCACCTCTGAGGCTGCCACCCCACTTCACAGCAAACCATAAGGGACCAGAAAGGCCCCTGCTGACATTTTTCTTAAAAAGAAAACAAATATGGGGAAAAAAAAAGCGTAATTAAAGCGTGCTAATTCACCATACATACATTTGCAATGCGCTCTTCAGCTCTTCACGGCAGGAGCTCAAAGGCTGAAGCCACACAGCACCACCGCGTATCGATGACCTGTCAGATCCTGCCTCATTTCGCTGATGCCTCCTTCCTCTGCCACGTCTTCCCGACCAAAAGGCTCTCCGGAGGCCTCGTGAGGCACCTGAACTCCCACGAAGCTGGACCTGTGCTCTGTACCAGCCCGGGCACAAGAAGCAAGTTGCACAGTTCTTGGACAAGAATAAAGCTGCCACGTTATTCCCAGGCTTCCTTTATATACGCCACTTCTAACTCTGAAATACTTCCAGACCACAGCCAAAGGTATAACTGAGGAAACTGAAATACAGGTGTGCCAGGATGTCCCTGGAGATGTACTCAGAGAGGATGAATTAATAAGGGTTTGTAATTAACCCCTGATGCTGTCCCATTCCAGTTACTGTGAGAGACAAAGCAACAAATGACTCCAAGATGCAACAACTGCACTTACAGGAATCCCAGACAGCCCTCTGTAAAAGTCATCTGTAACCTGCCACCACGAGAAAAAGCCCATCCTGATTTTGTAGTCATTGAAAAAAAAAAAAAAAAAAAAAAAAAAAAAAAAAAACACGCCTGGACTGCAGCTAGGCTGAGACATGAGGTCTTCAAAGGAAAAGGTGTCCAGGGATACGATTATGTTTTTGTTTGGTATTTGTATGGTACCCAGAGCAGATCCTGACAATAATAAAGTCTTCAGCCATAGCAGTGCTCTAAAATGTCTATAAAATGTCTCTCATTCCCCTTCTGGAGGCTACCAGCCATCAGTTCTGCTGGAGGACAGAACAAGCACGCACCCCCGACCAGCATTAGTGCAAAACCTAAGCACCAAACGACCTCAGAGATGGTTTGCAGTCAACTGCCTGCCTTCACGCTGAGGTGGCGAGGAGCCCTCCTCTCCTTCAGCACCATTTTGCAAGCAGAAATCACCAGGATTGAGACAGCAACAATCAAATCGCGGGTATGCCGATGCTCAAACCACCACAGCAGCCTGCTAAGTAAAATATATCCAAGGCCCACACTGTAAAAGGGCACTGAAACACAGACCCGCTACTTAAAAATGATAATAAATAAATGACACAGATAAACGACGGGGATAATGGAAGTGACAAAGCACTCAGGAGCCAAAGCTGAGGTTGGCTCCTGAGTCATATCAGCAAATCCCCACGGAGATCAGCGCAAGCCCTGAGAGCAGACAGCAGGATTCACAGCGTGACTAAACCACGCCGCGCCACCTTCCCTCATAATCCTCATCAGCTAACGAGATTGGAGGAGAAAATCAGCTGAATAGGCATGGGCAGGAACAAAAAAAAAGCCTAACCAGGTGGCTCTGCACAGAGCGGTGATGGATGAGCCGGCGATTCGAAATCAGATTGGATAAATGACATCTTTGTAGCGATCCTCAGCCGAAGGCAGTGTATGGAGAGGAGTCCGTGGCCTCAAAACTGCTAACCCAGCTGCAGGCCTGTGCTGCGGTGCACACAGAGCACGGCTTTCCAAGCCATCTTGTGCTGTCCCCATTCCCCGGGCTGCGGGAGGCACCGGGCTGGCGACCTGCAAGGAAGGAGCCCGTGGGGAGCTCGCAGTGGCCACCGCCTGTCCTTGTGGTCACCAAAAGGCACAGCAACAGGTTCTCCTGTGAGCAGCCCTTGCACTTGACAACGTATTGGCAGGATAAATGATGAATTTAATAATAATAATAATAATAATAATAAAACAATTGTATTTTCCCCTCTAAAGGAATCCTATAAGGGCTCAGAAGACCAAACTGCCAGGTAACCCCTGCCCAGACAGATCTGCCCAGCCCAGAGGGCTGTTCCATGTCATGCAGCCACCTGCACTGAGGGGACATCAGATTATCTACACTCTCCTCATTTTTTTTATAATATTACTGCCCAAAAGTGGCATTTTAAGCAACGCAGCATCTGAATTTCCTGCTGGGATCACAACAAACCAGCACCTCCTGGCGCAAAATATCCCCCAAGGCTGGGTATAGCCAAAGTGGTGGTACAAAGGAAGCGCTGAGCAAGCCTGGCTTGCACAAGATTCCCTTTTAAATTATGACTGCGGACTACCAAATGCCCAATATTTAAATCGCATTTTCGAATTATTATTTGCCATTGACATTCAGGTGTAACAAACAATCGGTACCAGCCCTCTTGCACAGCTCTGTCAGGCTGTGACACGCTGCTCAGATGCAGCTGAGGAGCTGGGGAGGGTTTGTGTGCTCAGCTAATTACCTGCATGCAGATGTCAACTGCTCTTTGCCCTTTCCCTATCTGATTTTTATCCCGTCCGTGTGCCTTAGATGAAATCACCTGAGTGCGTGTGTGCTACGGCAGGTTCAATTATCGTCTCTCTTGAGACACTCCTTGTTCAGAGGATTACTTGGATGCATGATGACAGCTATTTGCAAAGAGGGAATCAGCCTCGTAGGGAGGAAAGGAAAGCAGCCACAGGCAACGCACGCTACACCTTGTGTTGCTATCAGCAGAGATATCTGCAGGTACACTGCTCATGTTAAATCATTGAAATATTTCAGATGCTTTCTCAGAATGAAGTGCAAACCCCAAACCGGCCAGCAACAGCTGCAGCTGAATCCACACCATAAACCTCCGGGGGTTAAATTCACCTCTAGAAAGCCCCAAACCTTTCACACCCAACAACATCTCGGCGATACGGAAAGGGCTAAAATCAAGCCGATTTTTTCTTTTGATGCTTCATGTTGTAGGGCGAAAAAAGGAGACCTTGCAAACGCCTCCCTGGGGCTGTGCTGCTGGTGCAAGCTCACGGCATGTCTCTGCCAGACAAAGGAAAGTGGCAGCCCCTCGCTGATCCTCCGCAGTGCCTTCTGAGCACGACATGTGCTGGGCTGGTGCTACCAGAAGGAGAAAAAGGGGCAAGAGATGGCCGTGTCTGCGTGCCCCAGCCACGTTTGCAGAAGGCAGCATGTGTGTGTGTGACAGCTCGGCCACCCCGCTGCCCCACCTTGCGCACAAACCTCTCGCTCTTTTCGCTGGCGGCACGGAAAACGCCTTTTTTCTCCCCGAATCTCTCAGGCAGCTGAATGAATGGCACACCCCGAGCTCGTTGTTGTGTTTTTTTTTCCCCCCCTCTGGTTTCCTGGGAAGGATTTCCAGGGATATTTTCTCTTCCCATGCAGCGGCCAGGGCGATGCTGGGGGACAGGTGCAGGGAGCCTCACGCTCCTCGGCTGCGGCTGGGGGGGGGACACTGCGGGAGGGAAGGGAGGAAAAAGGGAAGGATGGAAGGGAAAAGGGAAGGATGGAAGGGGAAGGATGGAAGAGAAGGGGAAGGATGGAAGGAAAGGGGAAGGATTTGAGGAAAAGAGGAAGGATGGAAGGAAAAAGGGAAGGATGGAAGGAAGGAAAGAAGGGAGGAGGGAAGGAAAGCACCAACAAAGGTGCCCACAAGCTACTGCCTCCCCCACTCCCTACCTCTGCGACCCCAAGGGGCCGTCGCTCGCCCCCTCCGCCGTGTCCCCAAGCTTGTGCCTCCCCGGGTTTTCCCCTCCCCGTTACTCACACCACTAGCCTGGAGATGATCCATGACACCATGGCTCTGCTTCTCCCGGCTCGGCCCCGGCTCCTCGCCCGTCGCCGGCCGCCGCCCGAGTGAGGGGAGCGGGGCGGGCGGGCTCGGCCATCCGGCCCCGCAGCCGCAGCGCAGCCTCACTGGGGCCCGGCCGAGGGGATTGGGGAGGGCCCCGGGGCTCCGGGAGGAGGAGGAGGAGGAGGAAGGAGGTGGAGGAAGGAGGAGCCGAGCCCGAGCCCGCACCCCCCCACGCCGCTCAGCACCGCTCTCGCTTCCCCCCTCACCCCGGTGTTTGGAGCTCCCGGTGGGATGGGGGAGGTTGGGGTGCGGGGGCTCTGATTGGGGGATTTTTGAGGGATTTGGGGATTTAGGATTTGATCCAGTAGGGGCAGCCCGAGCTGGGGGTACAGCCCCTACGTCCAGGCGGCTCCTGGAGCCCCCCAGAAGGAGCCCCCCAGGCTCTGGGCAGCCCCTGCCAGGCTCCATCCCTGCCTGGTGCTCAGGGGGAGCTCCTGGGCTCCAGGCTGCGCTCAGCGCCTCTCAGGCCTGGCCCCTGCTCCCTGCAGCCTCCCCTCGGGGGTTTAGGGTCACGAAGGGGACCCCCTGAGCCTCCCTTCTCCCAGCTCTCCCAGCCTGTCCACCAGGAACACGCAGCCCACCAGAGGGTGGCTCAGCCATCCTCCTGTCCATCTCGGCCAGGGGAAGCTCACCTCGCAGCACCCAGCCCTTACCCAACACCTTTCCTCTTCAAAGTCCTCCCTAACGAGGGTCTCGTCACGTCCCACGTAGGCTCTCTCAACCCAATTCCCACAAAATCCATAGTTTAATAAAAGCTGAAGCTGCAGCACGGGCACACGTGAAGTTTGGCACCTCCAGAAGCGATCTCCCAGGTGGATCCTCAAAAAGCCAAGCACCTGCAGCACCACGAGGCCCCAACCTCTGTAGTGGGTCCGTTCCTCCACCAGAGGGAACTTCCACCCCACGCTGGGCCCCGCAACAGGCTGCCACCTCCTCGCCAAAGCAGCATTTCCAGGACAAACACCAGAATTTGCTGGTTATGGACAAGCTGGGAACCACAGCTGGGGTTTGGGGCCACCACCAAACATCCCTGCCGCGGGGTGGGCTGTTGCTACGAGCAAGTGTCAATTAGACATCCTCTCCGACAAAATTGCTCTCTGGAAGAGCTGCTTCTCTCCAGAAGAAGCCATTAGGCCATCTAGCCCAAAGCCTAAGGTGGTGAATCACCCTGTAGCTGTCTCGCTGCTATATCGTAGCCAAAGAGATTCTCGGAAACCTGTTATCAAAGGCTTTTTATGTATCGGGATTGTTTAGTGTGGGATTTTAGACTGGCATTTGGCAGACGCTCCAGCACGTTATGACAGCTAATGACATGACGATATCAAGTAGATGGCACAGATCTCTGTGCACAAATGGTTGTGTAATGAGGGTAAGCAGGACACAAACCCCTCCTGTGCTGCTGCTTTGTAGCAGCTGCTACCATCACCACCTGATGGTTGCAGACTGATCTCGGGCCTCAAAAAAATGCAGATAGGTAACAAAGTAGGTCTGGTGATGGAAAACCTAAGGAGCCTGCCCATGGGAACGCACAGGGCTTTGCTTCAAGGGCTGTTTGGTAAACAGAGGGTGAAGGAGAGAAATTAAACTCTGCCGAGTCACCAGTGGAAGGGTGACAATGCCCCCTACCTTCTCTTCACGGGCTCTGTCTTAGGATAAGTCACAGCCCCATGACTACGCGTGTGATATTCCAAACAGCCTGCGAAGAGGATTCCTTTGCTATTACGCTGCCTGACACAGTCTGTAAAGAAATAATGAAGAGACACAAGAAGAGTTAAAGCTGCAGGGATATGAATTAATTTCCACAGCCAACTGCGTGGTGATGCCACTTGGTGCTTGATGGAACATTTTGAAACTGCTTTGGAAGTGGAAGAAGGTCAGGCAGTAAAAAATCTTAGGCAGATTGCACCAGTGGATGATTTCAGCTCTGTTGGCCAAACACAATAACAAAATAAAACAGCTTTCTAAGGGATGGGAGAGCCACCAGCCCGGCCCTAAACACTCTGTAGCCTCCTCTTAGCAGAAACTGTTTTTCTCGACGGAGTTCACTGCCTCCAGGGAAAAGCTAGACCCCCAAAAGCACGATGAGAATCAGACTCATTCCTCTTTGGCCCCAAGGAGAGAGGGTGTCAGCCTCACACAACCGCCAAGCCATGACAAGAAGAGGGACTAACAGATATGTGCAGGGCTCGCAGCAGGTTACCAGATCCAGAAAAGGTCAGGAAATTGCCAGTGCAGAGAGGGGGACAAAGAATCCTTCAACAGATCAAACCTACACGAGATTAGACAATTCTGGAGACATTTCAGAATACCTTGAGATGAGCAGATGACCTAGTTAGGAAACATCCCCAGGCACAGAGAAAAATACCAGACAGGAAACCTGTGGTGATGTTTAGGTGCTGAGGTTCATGAGAAGAAAATAAAATAATAAACAAAATGAACACAAATATAAATAAAATAGACATGTACCACCCGTGCATACTTATCCTGTACAGGATGGCTATGGTACCTAAAAAGTACCAGGAGAGGAAAGACAGTTTGATCAGGAAATAGACGTTCTGCAACCCATCAGAGATCGTGTGGATATGTTTGTGGGTACGTAGGTATGGATGCATATACACAGAAACATACGTACAGGTGATATATATACATACACACGTATATAGATACATTTAGCCAGCCTTTTGGAAGGGAGATGTTTTCTTCTCGGTGATCTCTTCAATTTACCTCCTGAATTCCACTTGTAAAAGGAAAAAATAACCTAAAAAGACGACGTGGACATTTAGAGCAAAATCCAAGAAGAATGCAGGTCCTCAATACAACGAAAAAAATGCCTGTGTCTAAAACTACAGCTCCACACCAACAGATATGACTAGGTATGAAAGGTTAATAATGCTCTGCGGGGAGCACTGTTAAAGCATGAAGAGCCAGTCAGCATTTCCTGGCTGCCATTTCCAGCCTTCTTATTGAATTACTTGCTTTAGAGCCATGGCCATTAGCAAAGAGAGATTAAGAAATGCCTGTTTGACTGAAAAGCGATGTGGTCTGGCATCTGAGCTGGGAACTGCAACTGCTAAGAACCGCTCTGCACTCGCAGTGACTCACTACAAGAGCTTGGGGACAACGTGGAGACCAGCACGCTTGAATTATCATTTCACTTCAGGCTAACCGAAATGAGACAGCTTGGCCCCAGATATTGTCATCTGAAACTCTACTGCAGGAAGATCAGTGAGTGGTGCTCGGTATCTCCAAGTATTAAGCTCTGAACGCCACAAGTTGTGCATCAGAAGCTTCTGAGAAGTCTGCTCTTTGTTTCCCATGCCCTCTCTTGTAGCTGACATGTTACTTACAAGAATTCTTTCCCTTGGAACATATCCATGTGTCTCAGATTAATTCATTAGTGACTGTGAGGCGTCTGCAGGCCCTCCAGCTCTGTGGAAAATGATCCCAATTTAGCATGTTTTCCATTTGGCCATTTCAGGATGAAGAAAATTCTTGGATTATGGCATTTTGTAAATCAATGAGAAAAGGACAGGAACTCATTCCTTCTGCCTGGAATTCCAATAAAGACCCTAATAAGCTACCACTGTAATTAGAGTCCCTCTGACAATCAAATTAGCCTCTTTGTCCCTTGTTACCTACTGCCATCTCTCCGCCTCAGCCCAGTGATGTACAACCACCAGGTTTTCTGATCAAAGTGTAGAGCCTCCTGCTTTAGCAGGAAAGAAGAGAAGCCGCCTCCTCTGAGGGATGTGACACACACCTCCCATATTTTTATGAAGCTCCCCCCTGTCCCTGCCAAACAAGGACATGCAGATTTGACAAAGCCTACAAACAGAGGAGGACAAGCTGCTCAGATTGGTTGGATGCTGGGGAATGTCAGCTCGCGATTTCCCCAGTAGCAGGTTCAGATCGTGAGCATCTTCCTCTTGAGGCTTTTCTTCTTCTTGAACACAAAAGGTCTGCATGGCTGCTGGAGTGAGAAGCCAGTGTGTGGCAGAGATGTTCATCCTGCTAGGAAAGGAAACTGCTAAAAGGAGAACTGCAGTAGTGACTTCTAATTATAAAATACACTGTCAAGGCTGGAAAGCAGCAGCAAGACCAAGTCTATTTTGTTTTAAAATGGGACATTTGATCATTCTGAAAAAGGAAAGGGTGAATTGCTGTGACTGATGCATCATGAGTCAAGACCAGGGGAAGGTTACTCTCTAAATTTGCAGGTGTGTGCTTTTCAGAGTGCTAAGTATCAGCTACAGAGAAGATACCAAGACATACGGAGCTTTGGACTGATCCAGAATATCAATTCTTAGATTCTCGCACTGGAAGGATGGGATTTTTGAATTTTGTTCCTGTGCAGTGTTTAACAATGACTACAAGAGAAGAGTGAATGTACCAGAGGATGACTCAGCCACGCTCCTGCCCTTAAAGCAGACATGGAGAGGCAGGAGGAAGGAAATTAAGCACGAGTGTGAACATGAGATTTGTTAAAGAGGGATGTCGAGTGAAATATGGTCAGTGCACGGCCTTGAGCTTTCACCCAGGCGCCATGCAGATGGGAATGCTAAAGATAACCAGGAGCTGTAAATAATGAGTGAAGGGGCCCCTCTCATGGGCAAAAGAGACAAGGTTTCCTCCAAGGAAACAAAGGAATGTGAGGGAGGCTATGGACAGCCCTAGTTATGCCAGGGGACAGCTAAAGGGCTGCTGCAGCCTGGTCTTAGCAGTTTCTAGAGACAGGCTGTGTTCACAGACTGATGTAATAACAAAATTGAAGGCAGTGACAGAGGAAAGCAATGCGGGGTTCTTCGCCAGCCCTTGCTGATGGCCTTTAACCAAGCCGTGTGATATCCGCAGGCACCGCTCTGCTCAGAGGTACCCTGCGTACAGGTGAAATTACCCAGCAATTACCAGGCTGCTGGGGTTTGTAAAATCAAGCTTCAGTAACGGTGTGCTACTTCACTGGGAGTTATAATAAAGAGCTGCTGTTGACCCTCAGGCTCAACATAATAAATCCCAGCACAAACCAGGACGTGGCGACTCCAGATTTCAATTTTGTGCAAAGAGCCCCTGGGGAGGCAGAAGGGAGCTAGGTGTGCGGGCACGCCTGCCTGAGGTGCTCTCCCCGGGAGCTCCTCAGGAGTACCTGCAGGTGAGCAGCAACCTCGCTGGGAGAGCTCTAATTTCTCCAGGGCTTTTCCCATCCTCCTAGCACAGATGCTTTCTCTTCCTGTAAGCCAATGCCTCCTCCATGGGCACCTCATTTTGTTCCTCTGGAGGTGTGCAAAGCCTCATGCCTGCTTTCTCCTCAGCTACAAGTGCAAAGAGAAACGGTGAGTGTCAGAGCACGGGGCACGTTAAAGACACTGACTCTTGTACCATAAATGTAATCATGAGTATGAAATCGCAGCACCCTAAAAGCAGCTAGATGCAGCTCTATTTAATCATAGAAACAGTAAAACGATGCCAGAGAAAATAAGTTTCTTTATATGGATGTATTATATAACTTTTTTTTTTTTTCCCCGCAGTCAGGGGATAAGAAAACTTGCAGTATCATCCTGCTTCTCTGCCATTACGTGGCAGAACAAACAAGAATTAATAGCCTTCCCTGGGATTACAAGGCTGAGCTCCAAAACTGAAAAGGAACAAAAGCAGGATCCAAACAAACAATGTAAAGGCTTCAGAAAACAAAGGGCAAATGCACCTACTGGGATAAGAGCGTCCAAGTTATCTTCCATTGAATATTTATAGAGGACCCAGTCTCTACAAACGTTTCTCCATTTTGAAGACTTGTAACAACTCGCTTTAATGCCACTATTAATGGGACCAATTAATGGCTTCTGGACTTGTACCTGCTTACAACAAAGGTCAGAGCAAGCGGGAATAGCACGCTGAGCACTCCCAGCCTTTGGTACTGAGATGTGATAACATTTGAACACATCTCTGAGCGACGTGCTGGCTGCCCAAGGAAAGCAACAACAGTTTTCCCACACAAATTGGCCTCCAGTCCGACTGCTCAGCAAAAGGCTACAGCTGGAAATGGAAACTGGGACTCCTAAAAGTCTCTGCTTTGGTACCACAAACTACCACAAAACCAAAATAAGAGGCTTAGTTCCGGAACTCCATTTTTCTTATCAGTTTCCAGCCATGCTCCAGCTGGAACACTACGAGATGTAACCTCTTGGGCTGCTACGAGAAGCATGTGTGAGCACAGACTCTCCCTCCCAGCTCCAATAAGAGACCCTTTAATTGCCATGCATGCAGGTGGTGGTGTTTTCTGTACTCTCTTCTCCCTCAGACCCTGTTTCAGCCATCCCCTGTTGTCTATTTCAGCTAGGAGATTCTCCCAAGTACCACCAAAATGGAATGCAATGGACGAAAGAAAGCCAATGAATCTCTCACTGCCAACGGCAGGACTGTGAAAATCCACCTACACTCCCCAAGAAACATGCCAGCGAATCACACCGTCCTCCCAGCACTACCCTGAAAGCAGTTGGGGCACTGATAAAGGTGTTGCTGTAGCAACACGGAGCTTTCTCCGACACAGCTACACGAGTACGTCCTCGGTATCCAGGGGGTGATTTTCAATTTATGCCGAGCTCCACGCCGCTGAGGCTACACCTGACTTTGTAGAATATCTGAATAATTCAGGTTGCAAGTAGCCTCTGGAGGTCATCTGCTCCGAGCTCTAGTTCAAAGCAGGGCCAGCTTTGAAGCTACAGCACGCTGGAGAGAGCTTTGTCTCCGGCTACGATTTTATAAAGCAGCCTAGACGTGACTTTGTGAGCTGCGGCTATCACAGCAGAGAGCAGCGTGAGACAGCTTTAACCTGACAACACCTCTGCAGAACTGGTAGGGCAGGAGGAGAGCAGAAGTTTGCACTGAAGTCGTCTCCCCTGGTGGCAGCAGCATGGCAGCGCTCGGCAACCCTTTGTGTGACAAACCTCTTGCTGGCAACTGGGTCAGGACATCGCTTTTCTGGCTGGAAAACTGGTCCTGCAGAAGTCAAGGGTGTTCCTCCTACGCGCTGCGAGGAGGAGGACTTCAGTCCTTGGTTTGGGGCTAGAGCAAACGCGCACAGTGGGCAGCTGCAGACATGAGGAGTTAATCCCTCTAATAGCCTTTGTGCATCTAACCACGGCGATCAAGTGGTATTGAGCATAATTAATATACCCACAGGGTGTGTGTTAGATTAACAGGATTACCTGCTGGCGGTAATGTCACCCTGCTTTCATTCAGTGCGTCTCTCAAGAAGGGAAGGTACTTTCTAAAAGTGGGTAAATATTTGCTAATGCCAGAGAGGAAAATGAAAGTGCAGAGGTTTGGTCACAACGCCGGTCCCGGGGTGAAGGTGGAGCAACATCCCTGTCGCACGCCCGAGCATTTGTAAGCCGTCAGATGTCACGGCCTGCTCACGAAGTCCTTGCAGTCACAGCACATTCTGGTTTCTTATGCTAACTGCGTGCTTATAAAGCAACATTTCCATTGCTAGTTAAGCTTCCATTTTCCCTACACACTTTTTGTTAACTTTGAAAGTCCACAGAAGATAAATCTGGGGAGCAAACATTCGGATTCAGATGGTCACCCTAAAAAAGGTTCCTTCCTTCACACTGCAGCATGGCTAACAAATGCTGTGCTAGGGAATGTAAGTGCTCAGAGTTCTTACACAGGATTAAATTATTTGGTATCTGTTATAGCCTGTGAGCATAAATTACTATTTTGCACTCCGTGTACAAACAATAGATGTGGTTTGAAATATTCTGATGAAAGAATGAGCTTTAATTCTTTCTCTTTTTCCCTCTTTAAAAGATCTTTTATGGCCACAACCAATTCTTGTGTCTCCTGTCTTTATTCTTCCAGTATTCGTAAGGTCATTTGTCCCACGGGAAACCTGTGAACCCTGAAAATAAACTGTACTGCTCATCAGCTCGTCAGCATCTCCCACTGACATTCATTCACAGAAGCTTTCCGTGACAATGAAAATGAATTCAGTGCCTACCTAGCTCAGGTAACAATGTCTGAACCTAAGAACAGCACCGACTCCATCCCACCTTAGGTTAGTGTCTAGCTCAGCATTTACCCTAAACGAAAGGGTGGAGGGTGAGTCAGTAATCAGAGAGCTCTGCAGAAGCTGGGGAAGATAAAACACCTCTAGGGGGTGATTTGTCCCACTTATTCCAGACACCTATTTCAGTATGAATCTCCTGCTGGAGACGCTTCCCTTCTCTCCCTACGGAGTGTGCCCAGACAACTAGATGCCTGCTGGCAGGTGAAGTTGGTTCAATGTGCAGTGTTTTGTATTGGCAGCTTGTGCCCTACATGTGGCACGCAGTGAGACATCCGATGGCTGCTACAACCAGGGGCACAACGCTCATCAGCTCCGTGGTGGGAGGCAGGGAAACCAGCACCTCCAAAATTCAAAGTCATCAGCGATCTGCTGAGTTGTGTTTTTCCAACATTGCTTTTATAAAATCCCCTTCAGCTTTATCTTCAGTCACCTAAAATATTTTCCTACTCGTTTCTGAGACAAACCCACGATCCACCTCCAGCTGTCCCTAGGCAGATACATGGGTTTTAAGCCACACCTTATTTGTGTGTCCAGGTCTGCTGGACAACAGGGAGCTGGGAGTGACTTGGAGCTGCCTCTAATATGCTCATTAGAAAACTAAAACTGTACATTTTAATCTGTGATGATTTGTGCATAGGAAATAAGAGCTAGAAGCAGCACCAGAAGCCCATGCTACAGCACAAAGTGCTCTGCAAAGGAAACTGGGAAAGGTTGTTTATGTAGGTGTTTTGGTTTGTGCTTGTTGTTGGTGGTTTTTGCTTGTTTGGTGTATATTTGTATATCATATTGTATATTTGTTGATTTTTTGTGTGTGTTTTGTTTGTTTGATTTTTTGAGAACTGCAGTTTAGTAATCACGCTAGTAAGGGCATTAGATATTAGGAAGCAACAAAAGTTCAATTTTGAGTTCTTAGAAGAGATTTTTAGCAGAGCTTTTTAGAAGAGATAAGGGACAAGACAGTTTACGATCTTCCTTTCAGGAGAAGACGGGATTAACAGAGTCTCTTAAAAAAACACAGATGAAATTCCTGGTTTCCCTGGAGCCAGGATTTTGCTTTGATTCTGTTGTTTTAACTTCAGGCAAAAAAAAAACTCTAGTGTTGGGAGAACAGGCATTAGTCTTTGACAACTGTGAAGAGAGCTGATTGAGGAATCTGTTAGTTTTACTGACGTGCAATTGATGCAGGGAGCTTCACAGCGAGGAGCAGGAAATTGCTGAGAGTTTCACAGCGATAAATACAGCCAAGCACATCAGAATCACCAGCTCCAGCACTGACGCCCCGCTGCGCTGCAGGCTTCAGGTTGGAACCCAGCTGCTGTCCCCTAAAACTGGCCAGGGCTCCCCTCTGCCTGGCCACCGCACACGGCAGGAGAGGAAAGACCGAAAAACTCCCCAAAATTCCCAGCTGCTCCCAAGCTGCCGAGCATATTTCCAGCTCGGGCTGAGAGCAGGGGAAGGTGGAAGCTCCTTCAAAGGGACAGGGGTTCCAGCTTTTTTGTTGCTTTGACTCCATCTCTCCTCTTGCTTATGTATTATTTCTCGCATCCTCTCTTTATCTGAAACGGATGACTCAATCCCCATTTAATATTAAACATCTTGGGGGAAAAATTCTTAGCAGCTGCTTCACAATCATGCTTTTTTTTTTTTTCCTCCCTGCCATTAGGGAATGTAAACACTTATTAAAGTTTAAAAGGAAATTTGAGGATTAAAATAATGTTTAATTAGTAGCTCATCATCTTTCAGGTGCACAACACAAAGCGATTCATAAGAATTATAAATTCAGAAATGATTATTGTCATCCCCATCTCAGAGAGGAATGAAGTGAATTAAATTATCTGCCTAATAATAAACTGAGTGTTAGATTCCAGATCTGGTTCCCAGTTCTGTGCTATAGCAACTAGGTCACATTTAGAAATCTACAGTTTTAAATATTCCCAGTTCTTCTACATTCACAAGTAGCTGGGATCGTTATATTCCCCTTTCTCTCCCCCTTTTTTAAGTGATACTGAAGCTAACAGCGTTATTTTGTTAGCGTGGTAGCAGCACCACATGCGGAATTTCCAAGAAAGCTATTTCTCAGCTGACCCTTGGCATTAGAAGATCCTGTATTTTCCCACTGGAATCGGAGCTATTACACTAGTAGGTAAAAGAGCTAATGCTCTACCAAACACCCACTGCTCCAGTTCAAAGGACAGCTGGTAAGTGGCTGGATGAAAGAGTTAGAGTCAAGAAGTCAGCATCCTCTGTGGGGAGCAGAAGAATTTTCAGTGCTTCAGGTAAGGTTAAAGTATAAACAACATACCCACGATGATGACTTCTCTTTTTAGTGGACATACATTCAAACCCAAGCAAAGTTCTTCTTCAAATTCCACATGCTTGTAATTTACAACAACCACTGTCTCTCTGTGTTTACTACTTTATCAAAAGTTACATCAAATTACCAAGGTCGAAAGCATCCCAAATACTTCCAACAGAACACAGATGTGGCTTTCAAAAAAACAAATTTAGCCCTACAAATGTTGTCCAAGCAGTCCTAGGAAAGTATGTAGCAGGCTCCGTCAATATTAGTAACATTTCTATCAAGTACACCAGCATTCACTGCCTGAGTTGCAGAAAATTCCTGTCCAAGGGCAAGGTGTAACTTTTTTGCCAAGGAAAGAAACTCGGTCACAAGAGAGTGCTGTTTACAAGAGACAGGAGGAAGCACTTTGTAACACACCTTAAGAGCCTCTCTAGCACTGGCAGGGAATGAAGCAATGGCTGGCTGGCCTTCACCGACTCCACATTAAGTTATTTCAGCAGTGAAAGAGCCTGGACATTGCTAAGAAGCAGAATATGAGTACATGTGACTTGCTCTCAGCCTGTTGTGAGGCTACTGGAAGTGAAGCTAATTAACAAAGAACAATTTTCTTCATTAAATAATGTTGGCTCACAGTTCACTGGCATAACTTGCCTCAGCTTTCCCAGCTCGTTGCAGTACATGGGTAGCGATACCACCACAACGTTCCTGCTGCATTGGTGCTCTCCAAGATTTGATCCAACTGTATGCCTCAAGGTAATACTGATTTGCATTCTTTAATTAAAAAATATTATCCTGAACCCTTTCAATTAATAGCTGACAAGGTAGTAACACCTGTAGGGAAAGGCCCTTTTTTTTTTTCCAAACAAAAGTCAAATCTGCACATAACTACTAACCACACTTCTCATGTCTAATGTTTGCTCATGGTTATTTTTGAAAGGTTGCTACTGCATCACTCTATCTATGAACAGCTGTTTAAATTTACAATTAATCTGAAAAAAAAAAAAATCCACTCCCAATCCCTGGGCATTACTTTACATCTAATTTAATAATTAAATGTTAAATTAATGGTCAATCAAAACTTAAATAGTCAATCCTAAAAGTCCTCTCACAATTCCCTGTGTCTACGGTTGTGACAGCAAACCTAAATCCTACTAACTCATCGTTAGTGAAAGAAAAGCAAGTTACCCTCCACTGTAGAGCACGTATGGCAAAGGAAAAGAGAGAATTTAGCATCCCTTATGGGATTTTTCACTAAGTAAATAAACTCTGTGGAGCACTGCAATGTACTTTGTGCCCAAATACGTCCTTCCTTTAACTTTACACGGGGAGAAGGCATTAACCAACGTAAGGCAAATTATTTCACTTTAACTTATGGTGAAGAGAGTAGTATGGAAAAAAAAAGAGCAGAAACTAGTTCTGCTAGTCTGCAAAGCTGATCCGTGTGAGATGAGCTGAGGTAATGTGGCCGAGCCACAGAAATGAGATCATACAGGCTTTTATCTGTTCACCCAACAACTGGATTGAGCAGGAGCAGTAACCAATCTACTTATCTATTAGAGCAATAATTAAACGACATCAATTTGGGTGCTAGTGAATAACAAAGCTTCTAGTCATCTGTTATCGCTCATTCTTCAGGACTGTATTTCAAGACATGCTAAAGAAATTAAGCTGTTAAGCATCCCCCAAATCCATGTTTCTAGTTAGGTGACCAGCACTGTAGTAGTCTGACCATGTGTGCTTTCATCTTTTAGTATGTGTCCTTACACCTTCATCATTAATCATGGAAGGAGGTGAAGTACTTACATTATTTTTCTCTGCTTATCCAAGGGGGCTTGGTTGAGACCTCAGACCTTTAAATGTTGCTACTGGAGAGGTTTAAGAAAAAACAGCATCCAGAAGATCTTGCACTGACCATGAAGCATTTGTCCTCACCTGCACGCAGACTTGTAGGCTGAACTTGGAAATGCAGGAAGAGGGTGTTGAAAAACCATCTGCCCTCAGTTATCAGGGAATATATCTCTGGAGAACAAAAAAAATAATGTTAGGTGCTGGCCCTACTCTGAATAAAATGCCCCTTTCTGTAAAATATTTGTGATTGATGATATCTAATACTTTTAGATAGTGGGACCCCAACTTGCAAGCACAACTATTTGAATAGCACGTCCAGATTTTATACGCAGACAAGTAGGCTTAAATTCCTGAATATGGAAATTTTTCAGCATTGGAAGTTACAAAATTGGCTATTGAGAACTTTTACCACGTGTACTGTTAAACACAAGTCTCTTCACCCAAAGCCTCTTACCCATATTTTTTCCTAGTAAGGCTGGGAACAAGAGAAACCTGCCGTTACCTACTAAATGGTACCTGAAAGAAGGAATTTATTCAAGGGAGTTCTGCGCTTACTGTTTAAAAAGCACCTGTTTGCACAGATTACTCCTTTCTCAAATAGGAGGTAAAGGTTTACTTATTAGCATCTCAACCCAGTCAGTAGACCTGCCTGTAAAAAATATGTTAAAGACTCCGTGCAGGCTGCAGAACAGGTGGAAACGTGGAAACGTACTGCTTTGTAATTTAATCATCCTGCATATTTATAGCAAGAGTTTGTTTAGCAGATACTTTGAATAGCATTCTGCTCCTCAGATGTATATAAACCAGAGGGAGATACTTGCATCTGTGCCATTATCATAGTGATAGTCTGTTTGAAAGCCATTTCTGAGCATTTTGATATTTCTATCAGCACACAGTGTGAGTGAGTCTGCATTTATAGGTATTTTTTTTCTAGTAGATATGTTTTTGTGGACATTATTATGAGTAGCGATAAAATAATCAGCTAAAAAAAAGTATTTATTTTTCTGTATTGTATGGTTAAAATCCTGTCTAAGTGGACTGGGAAATATATTCTCAAAGTATGCAACAAATTCATAGATGTTTATAGCCACAATTTAACATCTTACATCTTCTAATTCTTGACGTAAAATTTCACTGGTTACCCCAAGTTTATATCTCCTAGAGGAGCTAGATACTTTTAAAAAGATATTTGGTCATTATCTAAATCCTTCAAGGGATAAAGAATCCTAGGGAAGTGAAGCAAGTAGCTAATTATCTTCCCTACTCATAATAATAATAATAATAAA